TCTATGGATACGGCAAGAGATAGAAGATTGAAGACGTGACATGAAATGAGCGAATGCAAAAGCATTGGGGTAGCAGGAGAGACAAAAAAGACCAGCTCTTGTAGGGTTGGAAACAACAGGAGCATTGCTGGGGTTATTTCAAAGCCCTCCTTTTTGCTTTTGTTGTGATTCAGAGGCATTTGCAGAGAGGAAACGGATGGGAAAGAAGGGTTGGCCCCAAACCACGATGGGTGTTGGTGGGTTAGGTAGCAACCCCTGCCCTTGGTCCCATCCCCTCACCTACCCTACACTCAAATTTCTCTTGATTCTCAAGCAACCCTTCTTTTTCCTCACGTAAATATAGCCCCTTACAGAATGTAACACGCCTATATCAATATGGCCCTACACCATAACCCAAGATTGCCCATTTACCATCACTTCGCTCAACTGAAACTTTAATATGGATATATTCAATGATTTTAAGATATTGTAGAACCAGTAGCTATGGTTTCAAGCTTGTTTGAAAATTTTAATGTATATCTCAAGGCAACTGTCTTTATTGAGAAAACACCACGTCTGTCTCCCAAGCGTGGAAAAAAAGGAGTGTAATACAGTGAAAATTACCTCAAATTATTGAACTTATATTGGAATCACTACTTTAAATGCTTTCACATTCACCATATATAACCAAGTTTAGTTAGTAACCTTTTCACTGAATTTTATCGCTTTCTTCCCCTTTTTTTTCCACGACCATGCGCGTACGTGTATATAAAAAATATTATTTCGCTCATAGAACGAGTAGATTCATAACGAAGACAATTCTCACAATTAAATTTATTTTATTCATAATATCATGATTCAGATCCTAAACTTTATTTAAGGGACTTAACGTTAACGGACCAACTAACCAATAACATAGCCAAATGTGATAATATAATTTTTTTAATTGATATTGATTCCGAATTTTATATATTAAAGAAAACATTTTTTTCTAAAGGAAATAAAGAGAAGTGAAAGTATATAGAGTAATCATACATGCATATCTCTGTTTCTCTTTCCATTTCAGGAATTCTAATCTTTTTTCCTTTTAGATTGATAAATCAAATATATCTTTTGCTTTGCTTTCATTGAACTGTGTGTCACCACTCCCAGTATCTGCTGCATAATTCTTTCCCTAGAATAACACCATGGCAGTCAAGTATGAAACTAATTGGAACTAAGTTTAGTGCTAAACTCAGTTGCCTGTTGGGTCATGTCTAGCAATCGGATGGCTTTTTTCCCAGCAAATTTCATGCCCCAAACTCCCCATGAAGAAGATCATCATCAACCCCAAAGCTCCACAAATCAAATGGTTCCATCATGCACACCCCTAGACTTTCATGGTATATACAAATCATCTGGATCGTTAGGGTTTATCAGTATCTAAGTCTATAATGGAATTGATTTCTGTTTTATTTTGTATATATAGGCGTTGCATCATTTCTGGGGAAGAGTTCAATATCGTTTTCTGGTATCGATGCATGCGAAGAGACAAACGGGGAGTATGATTTATCAGATGATGGTTCACAGGCAGGAGAAAAGAAGAGGAGGCTTAACGTGGAACAAGTGAAGACTCTCGAGAAGAACTTTGAGTTGGGAAACAAGCTTGAACCCGAGAGAAAAATGCAGCTGGCTAGAGCTCTTGGATTGCAACCGAGGCAGATAGCTATTTGGTTTCAGAACAGAAGAGCAAGGTGGAAAACTAAGCAGCTAGAGAAAGACTATGATCTGCTTAAAAGACAGTATGAAGCAATCAAAGCAGATAATGATGCCCTCCAAGCTCACAACCAAAAACTTCATGCACAGGTAATCATATATACATGTTTTGAATATATAATTGAGCTTTTTGAAGATTATAATCATAAGCAAAAGCTTTATTGACTTTCTATGGAATCATTGTTTTTACAGAATAATTTTACTTTCCTTCTAGGCTGATTGATGGTTTAATTATGGTTTTAGTCACTCTACTGTTGTGAGATTTAATCCCTGTACTCTAGTTTAGCTCTAATTTTACAATGTTATTAGTAGGTCCAGATTAATAACACCTTCAGTTACTGCCATTCAAGTGATGCTGTGAGTTTTTTTCGATTTGACACACTAATGATATTAGAACAATGAAGCACCAAATTATGCTAAATTAAAGTAGATGGATTAATTGCAAATGTTAACACAGTAGAGGGGCTAAAATCATAAATAAATCTTGATGATTAATCATTGTTTGAAGCGTAATTAGAGTAACCATGAGTCATATGACTGTGGCATGCAATGAGTGAGAGATGTTTCTTACAGTTTACAACACTGATCTCATTGGTTTTAGCATCAAATTATGAATACTGGGTTATTTGTGTAGCAACATTATTCATCTTTGATCGGATAAGTTAATTTGTTGGTGCAGATATTGGCACTGAAAGGCAGGGAGCCGACAGAATCCATCAACCTCAATAAAGATACCGAAGGTTCATGCAGTAACAGAAGTGAAAACAGCTCGGATGTGAATCTGGTTATCTCAAGGACACCAGCAATCGACAGTCATCCAACAAGCATAACCCTTTTCCCTACGACATCAATTAGGCCAACAGGCGGCGGTGTTGAGGTTGCACAGCCGTTCCAAACCGCATCGTCGAGGGTCAATAATCACCTTCATTGCCAAAAGATGGATCAGATGGTTAAAGAAGAAGGCATCGGTAACATGTTCTGTAACATCGAGGATCAAACCGGGTTTTGGCCATGGCTCGAGCAACACAATTTCAATTGATAAATTTGGGAATAGTACTACCACCTCCACCATCACCTCAGTTACAGAAAAGTTTTACATAAAGAGGGCTCTAAGTATCATATCAAGTGGAAACTTTTGGTGATCAAGAGGTTCCCTAGGAGATGATTTTGGAGGAATAAATTGTGTATCTGAGTTATATTATATATAATCAGGTTTCAATAGGCTTAAGTTGCTAGTTGAATTGCAGCACCTGTAGCTGGCTTTGGAATCGTGTTATTTGCAATGAAGAGAGATCAGATTGTAATGATTTTTGTACTTTTTGGTGCTGATAATGGTTAATGAAGTGTAGTATTTTAACCCTTTCTTTTCTATATTTGTTGTAAAAAAATGGGAGAGTGTCGAATTCCAACACACATTCCAAGAGAAGAAGAAGACAAGAGGATTGAAGAGCAGAAGAAAACAAGAAAAGTTGGAAACTGTTGTTCTCGTGAAGGGGACGTTGCCAAAACCTGTCTTACCCACCACTGCCTCTTACTGCTCTGACTTTCTTGGACTCTTTGATTGCACCAAAACTATATATACATATATATACGTCTGTATATATCTATATATGTATCATATGGCCCTCTGACACCCACTCCCTCTCGTCCAATAAACTCCTCATTCTTAAACCCCCACTTCCTTCTAAGGATTTTTTATTTTTTGGTTTAAATTGCACAAACTAACTGCTTGGTTTTGTATTGCATGTATACATGTATAACAGTATAAGACACCTAATCGTATCATCGTTCGGTAGCTAACCTATAATCCGATCCTACCATTCATTGAACTGTGTAAAGCATAATCATGATATATATAATTAATGAAGCCTTGTGTATCCCAGAAAATCATTTAAGCAATGTCTTCTTTCACTATATAAGTGATTTTTTCTCATAAGTTTAGGTAGAGTGATAATATGATGTGTCATGTGGAATTAAAAACTATAATGAAAATATGATGTGTCATGTGGAATTAAAAACGATAATGAAAATAAGATGTGACAGTTAATAAATGAAGTCCTCATGTGAGTGTATTGGTTACAGGAGACAGGGTGCAAAGCGAGAAGTCTCATGGGAGGGGCCTTAGATGAAGAGACGCCACGAAGAGCCTTTATGTGACTACGTGTATCGAGGAATGTTGATGAGATTTAACAAATACTGTGAAACAAAGAACCCCCCAACTTCACAATGTGAACTGCCTCTAACCTTTTCTGGTCTTGAATAGCTTTTGAGTTAATGCTCCAATTTTCCGTATATCTCTGAGTATATGACATCTTGATTCTTTTAACAACAATCAGGTCTTAGCTATGCGCGTAGAGGGTCATTTTTGTGCCATTATCAAGAGAGTCATTTGGGACAATTCCCCCACTCAGAGATAACTACACATTCTTTTTACTTTTAATCAGCCTTGGCATGAAAAATCAACAAGGTCAAATTGTTGACTTGATTTGGGCTCAGCAATTCCAAAGCCCTTCTTGGAAAGTAGTAGATATGCCATGGGACTGAATCAAGAGTTAGACTTTTTTTTTTTTTGAATGAAAATCGAGAGTTAGACTTGAGTAGACCGATGCTTGCCCATGTTCACAACTTCTGAGAGAAACGTGAAGCTGCTGGGGTTATCAGTTTGATATAGGAGTGCAGTACTCTAGAGATAGTAGTAGTCACCATTACCAAACTTTCTTTCCAGTTACTATTTGTTTATATTGTCAGTGAGGCCAGGCTGATGGATCATATGATGATCGGAATCCTGAAACAGGAAATAAAAGAACTGACCACCAATTGACCATTGTGTGTGTGTGTGTGCAAGGTATAGCAGTGTTAATAATTGATCATCAAAACTTAAGTGATAGTCAGACGAGTATTTATACTTGAAGCACACGCCATAGTTCTATGGATTATCGCATAGATGTCGTCTCAAGACTAAGTGATGCCAGGTAGAATCCTGATCAGTGCCCAAGTGGAATCTTACTTTCCTCCATTGGATGGTAATGGAAAGGATCTTTCTAACCAGAACTTTTTATATATGAAAACTTTAAGGATTTTATTCATGCTCAAGTGGTAATACTTTCCTCCATTAAGTTTCCTTCCCCCCTACTCGAAAAACATTAGAAAAAATAAATGGAGTTGATTGAAAGTTGGGGGACTAAAAAGATAGTTTACCCAAAAATTGAACAATCGTGACGTGGCAAATACATGACCAGCAACGGCTCAACTTAATTACCTCCTATCATCTCCCTCCCTCTCAAAACGGATAATCCTTCATGGCCTCTACTTCTCTTCTTTCACCGGTCGCCACCGCTGCCGCCAATTCTATCACCCACCACTCTCTCCATCTCCCCTCCAAGCTTCCCTTCCCTAAACTCCTCTCCAAACCCATTTCCAGAAACAGCAGACTCTCCTCCAGGCTCCACGTGTCCTCCCCAACAGACCAACCCGCCACGACCGCCACCCCCTCCTCCTCCAAGAACCCCAAAGAGGAAACAGTCTTCTTCGACGGAGGAGCCCACCACGGCGACCTCTTAGCCAACCTGCTTCTGGGTTTCACCCTTCTATGGCTGCCGTTGACTCTAGCTGCTGTTTCGAGGGCTTTCTTCCTGAGGTACCGGTTCACCAACCTAAGGGTGACGGTTATTTCGGGCCTGACGGGCGAGGATAGAAGCGACTTCTCGTACAAGGTGATTAAGGACGTGCAGGTGGTGCCGAGGTTCATAGGTGAGTGGGGTGATGTTATCATAACCTTGACGGACGGGACAAAGGTTGATCTTAGGAGCGTGCCTAGGTTCCGAGAGATTGCAAAGTACTGCCTGTCCAGAGCGGAGAAACCTGTTGTTTTGAAGGAAACTGGAGCTAAAGGGTTTTAGGCGTGTAAGTTGTGTGTTTTTACTGTGAATTTTTTTATATACAATGTTGGTGTCACATTTTATAGTTTTACTGGGAACATAATTGTAATTGAAGCTTAATTAATTGTATCTCTTTGAATTTTCTTCTGACTATATATGCATACTATTCTGAGGTTCTTCAGTTAAGAATTTTAGTAGTAAAGTGGTATATGTTTTGGTATTATCATAAGTAGTAATGGGATTAGTAGCCTAGTGGTTATTGATTATATCATAATAGAAATGAGATCACAATAAGGGTTAAGCTTCGATATTTGAGGATACTAGGAATGGGGCTGACGGAGATGTTTAGTTCATCCTGTTTAGGACAGGACAGGGTGTGGGTAGAGAGACAGAGATAGGAGAAAGGAGAAAAAGGAGATGAGTTGCTTGGTCTTGTTTCAAAATCTCGGCCCTTATATATTTCTTTTTTTTTAGGTAAAGATGATATGATAAATAAGGAAAATCATACACGGAAAGAGTCATACGTGTCTCGTCAAAAATCTCCTTAGAGGAAAAGAGTACACATGTACTTTTTAAAAGAACAAACACTGAAACAAATCTTATACATCCAGGTTCACATCCCCACCAAGTGTTCTTGAACCAGAACCAGACATGTCAAAATAAAGCAAAGCATGAACGCCGCTCGGGTATCCTCAACATAACGGACTTATATATGTATAAAATCCGCAACCCGATTCTCAGACCAAGGAATATGTATAAAACGGACCACCCACTCTTGTTGCACAAAAGCACGCCATTCGGCCCTTATATATTTCAATTGGTTGTTAAATTGATTTCTGAGTGAGTCTCCTCTATTGCCTTATACACCAACGAGTTTTTAAATCAAATGATCGAAGCTATTAAATCAAACACAGTTGGCTTGCTATCCAAGGACTGAGCAGCAAGGCAAAGCCTGGAGGAGAATTGAGGGCAACCAGAAGACTCTTATGATATAGAAGGCATAGGAATTGGATAAGATTTTCAGGCTGAAATCACATGAGTTGAGTTGAGGATGGACCTTAATTCCTTGTTTCAATGTTGTAATATAACTAAGGTGACGTTTCGTTCGTTGGAATGTTTATGAGGGAATTGGAATCTGTGAAGGAATTGTAATATGTCAGGAATTGAAATCTAATTCCATATTCTGTTTGGTTGGCATGATATTCTGTTTGGTTCGCAGACATGTCAGATGAATTTGATTTTAATAATGTAAAATGACAGAATTGCCCTTCTTGTTTTTTTTCTTTATTTTAGTTTGTTTTACAACTTACATGTAATAAGATATTATAAAAAATAAAAAAAATATTAAATTTTCATTTTATTGATTGATTATTCATTTCAATAAATTATAAAAATCATGCTAATAAACATCATAAGTTAAAATCATCGCAATCAAAATATGTTAATAAGTTACCAAAAAATATAACAATATTTCGAAACATTCCAATCGGAGTATGTTAATTAGTAAATATACCAAAAACTATTTTTATTCAATATATGAATTATAAACCCGACCCGATACGACACGAAATAATAAAAAAAATTATTTTTATTCAATAAAAACATTGACTTAATTGAAAAAAATTATATATAGAGGGGTATTATTGTAATTATTCCTAAATATATAAGGTAAAATTATATATATTTTCCGGGTCGGGTCCGGTTTTTTCACCCTAAACCCGAACCCGACCCAAAATAAAAAAAATTATTTTTATTCAATAAAAACAGTGACTTAATTGAAAAAAATTATATATAGAGGGGTATTATTGTAATTATTCCTAAATATATAAAGTAAAATTATATATATTTTCGGGTCGGGTATTTTTCACCCTAAACCCGAACCCGACCCGACCCGAATATAACACTTAAAAAACCAACCCGACCCGACCAAAATAAAGTTTCACCCGACCTGACCCGAATATATGAATTAGAAACCCGACCTGACCCGAAATAATAAAAAAATATTTTTATTCAATATGTGAATAAGTTACCAAAAGATTGATGATGGTAGTATGATCAAATTTCAATTCCCTCCAACAAGGGAATTGAATTTCATCCATTTTTAGATTGAATTCACTTTCCCTTATTTGATGGAAAGTTGAAGCCATGAGGGATTCCAATTCCCTTGGAAAACTTGAACCAAACATGGGAAAGTGGTGGAATTGGATTCTAATTCCCACCAATTCCAAGGGATTCATGCCAACCAAACGCCACCTAAGGGACCAGCCCTGCCCCATCATCATTCAATATTAATGCAACGCGGCTTTTAAATCCCACCACTCTAATTTTAATTAGAGTAAATTAAACGTTTAGTACTTAAACTATCAATTTTGATACGTTTTAATATCTAAACTTTTAATTTTTTTAAAACCATACTTAAAGTTTAGTTTTTGTATCATTTTAAGTACTAAAACGAAACAAAATTGATAGTTTAGGTACTAAAGTTTTTAACAGTAGGTACTAAAACAAAACAAAAACTAAACATTAGATATTGTTTTAAAAAATTGAAAGTTTACGTACTGAAACGGATCAAAACTGATAATTTATATACTAAATATGTAGTTTACCCTTTTAATTTTCATACCATAGTACCAAAACATTGCTATTTTGAGATCAATGTATTTTCTAAAATTATACATACTTGAGCGGATCGAAAAGAATATAAAAATATATTTTTTAATGTACAATATCTCTAACTCAAATTTGAGATAATCTAAACTTAAAACTAACCTTAATTAAAAATAAACTAATATTTTTAAAATTTACATTAATTTGACTCAAATCAAACTATTCACCTAAATGACATGTAGTATGATTAAACCTATGATCACAAAAAAATAATACAATTTATTTAATGTGCAATAACTCAAAAACTATTGTCGTCTAGGGAAATTTCATAAGTTTATTACTTGGTGTTTTTTTTAAAGAGGAAAATCTTTGTATTCCAATAGTATCCATGATTATAGTATATTTACTATAATCTGGTTCATCATAGTAAAATCAGTACGGATTGGATCTCGACAAAACCTAATTTGCCAGGAAGTGAGCGACCTGATTCGCTTCACGATTTACATAAAAAAAACTTTAAGATCACTATTTCTGGTTACAATATATTGTGCTTCGTTAAGTAACAATATGATGGTTGAAACATCTTCTCTTTTATTGGAAAGTTTATTGACAATGAAAATCCCATCGTCTTCAATAATTGCATCCATCCACCCATTCTCAATTGCGAACTTAAGCCCTTATGTAAAAGCTTCCACTTCCGTGGATTCTGCCGTGAAAGGTGAAGTAATTTGTCGACACATGCCCCCAAGCACCATCCCGTTGTGGTCTCTGACCACAATGCCTATTGTTGTTGTGGCTTTCGTTTCTCTAAAAGCCCCATCGACGATAATATTAACACCAATTATCTTACGGCGGCTCCTCATCGAGCTCTATGAGGGGGTGGGAAAACTTCCAATTGAATTGGCTTGAACAAAATCAGCACGAAGCCCCCGTGCGGCCACCACCATATCCCTATCGTTTTGTATCTCTTTTCATCATACAACCATTTGTTTGTTTGGTTCCACACGTTCCAGAGCAGTACCAAGAGTCTGGCTAGTCCAACCGCATCCAACTGAGTGGATGTCCATTCCAACCAATCCTTACTCGATGCCCTTTGCTAGTCGATCGATGACTGAGGGATTGAGCCCTGAGATTTGGAGGATGACACGTGTCTTTGGGCAATTCTTAAGAGCGTGGATTGTATTTTCCAATTCACTCCCATAAATGGGACACGATTCCTCAGACAGCGGGCCTTCTTCAAATTTCCCCCCTGTAAGGATTGCGTCGTGGCACGCTATTCACCCAAAGATCTTAATTTTAGGTAGTGTAGGCAATTTGCTAAGGGTTTTCCATATCTCTCCCTGTTCAGTGGGGAGGTCTTTCTAAAGAAGAAGCCGATTGTACCCTGATTTCACTGAGTAGCATCCGGTGTTACGATGGCTCCAAATAAATCTATCATCATGGGTGGGAGCAATGAGGGTTTTGGGGACTCTGTTCGCGTCTTCGGGGTGAGCAGCTGTTGGATCCTTGCTTCGTCCCATTTGGGGCCATTTGGAAGCATAAAGTCGGATCATTTAAAAAGAGAATTTTCATTATCGCGGTAAAAGCTCGTCCAGCTTATCGGAGATGCATCCCCCCATTTATCAAGGAATATTCTGGCCTTCCCTTGAAACTCAATCCTCCAAAAGAAGCCGTGTTTCAAGTATTATTTTGCTTTGAAGAGGCTAGTCCAAACATACGAAGCTCTATTTCCAAATTTTCTTTCTAAAAAGGATGAATTGGGGAAATACTTTGCTTTGAAGATTTTGAAAGCCAAGGAGTTTTGATCTTGGATGAATCTCCAAACTTGGTTGCCTAGCAAAACGAGATTAAACAGTTTGAGATCTCTGAATCCCAGGCCCCCTAAACGTTTTGTTCTGCAGATTTTTTCCCATGCCACCAAAACCAGAGTACTTGGTTTTTTCACGAGGGGTAAAGTCCTTTCCTTGGGATGGATGGGTCAATTTCAGAGTGAGGAAGTAAAGATGATCTTACTTGTCAAAATGGAATAGAAAAAAAATCAAAGAAACTTTATCTTAAAGCAAAAGTAAATATTCCATTATCCTGGGAAGATGAAAGTCAAAGATCACTCTCATACATGGAAGCTTTAAACATAACTCCAAACAAATGAATAACGCATGTCAAAAGAAATTTTGGTCAATTGTCATCAAATTATATTCTAAACGATTTTATTGCGTTATGGAACGAACACATGATTTCATGTTAGACAGAGGCAGGGCTCTATTGGGCCCAAAGGGACTTCGACCCCTATAAAAAATTTATATATTCGATAGATTTTCGTCTAATAGTATTTTGGTTTATATAAAAGTAAGTATTTAAATTTTAAAAAAAAATATAAAGATTTATTAAACATTTAATCAAGGGTTGAATTAAAGAAGAAGAATCTCATATTCTCAAAGTTTTTGGTCTAATAATAATTTAGTTCATTATAAGTTTAAATATTAGACAA